GCAACCTCTAACTCCTGGGCTTAGGCGATTCTCTTGCCTCAGCCTCCTGAGTAGCTGGGACTACAGGCACCCGCCACAATGCCTGGCTATTTTTTGATTGCAGTTTGGCCAGGGCCAGGTTTGAACCCGCCACCCTTGGTATATGGGGCTGGCGCCCTACCCACTGAGCCACAGGTGCTGCCCTTAGCTATTTTTCTTAAGTTTACTTTTTTCCAAAAAGGACAAATTATTATTAAGTACATAAAAAAGAATAATGGAAAGTCTTTTGACAGTTTAATTAATGAAAAATTTTATAGCATTTACATTTTATGATAATCAAAAACATGATATAATGTTTTGTTTTTGCAGGCTGTTTTCCATTAGTTTGTGATGATGATTTTATTTGTTATTAAGTGGTTGAAAGCATATTTAACTGCTTTGTCATAATGTAAAATATAAATATAAATGCTTATATACATTTCTCAATATTTGGGAGGCCTATTACAATATTATATATTGAATAAAGGAGGCATGCAAAGTAAATAAAGCAGGTACTTTTTTAGGTGGTCTGAGGTTTTTCTTTAAATTTTTTAAATTTATTTGAGATAGAGTCTCATTATATTACCCTTGGTAGAGTGCTATGATGTCACAGCTCACAGCAACTTCAAACTTTTTTGGGTTTAATTGATTCTCTTGGCTCAGCCTCCCAAGTGGCTGGGACTATAGGCGCCTGTCATAATGCCTGCCTATTTTTTTTGTTGTTGTTGCAGTTGTCATTGTTTTTTAGCTAGCCTGGGTGGGGTTTGAACCCACCAGCCTCAGTGCATGTGGCCTGCACCCTGACCACTGTGCTATGGGCACTGAGCCTTTTTTTTGTAGAGATAGAGTCTCACTTTATTGCTCTTGGTAGAGTGCGGTGGCGTTACACAGCTCACAGTAACCTCCAACTCCTGGGCTTAGGTGATTCTCTTGCCTCAGCCTCCCGAGTAGCTGGGACTACAGGTGCCTGCCACAGTGCTCGGCTATTTTTTTTGTTGCAGTTTGTCTGGGGCTGGATTTGAACCTGCCACCCTCAGTATATGGGGCTGGTACCCTGCCCACTGAGCCACAGGCACTACCCCCCCCCCTTTTTTTTTGAGACAGAGCCTTAAGCTGTCGCCCTGGGTAGAGTACTGTGCCATCATAGCTCACAGCATCCTCCAACTCCTGGGCACAGTGATTTTCCTGCCTCTGTCTCCCAAGTAGCTGGGACTACAGGTGCCTGCCATGATCCTTGGCTATTTTTTGTTGCAGCCTTCTTTGTTGTTTGGCAGGCCTAGCCTGGATTTGAACCCATCAGCTCAGATGTATGTGGCTGGAGCCTTGACTGCTTGAGCCACAGGTGCTGAGGCCCAACCCCCCCCTTTTTTTTTGAGACAGAGTCTTACTCAGTTGCCTTGGAGTTGAGTGCTGTGGCATCATAGCTCACAGCAACCTCAAAGTCTTGGGCTTAAGAGATCCTCTTGCCTCAGCCTCCTAAGTAGTTGGGACTACAGGTACCTGCTACAACGCCTGGATATATTTATTTATTTGTTTGTTTGCTTGTTTATTTTTTGAGACAGAGTCTGACTACGTCTCCCTTGGTAGTGTGCTGAGGCATCACAGCTCACAGTAACCTCAAAGTCTTGGGCTTAAGCGATTCTCTTGCCTCAGCCTCCGAAGTAGGTGAGACTACAAGTGCCTGCCACAATGCGCGGCTATTTTTTGTTATAGTTGTCATTGTTGTTTAGCTGGCCCAGGCTGGGTTTGAACCTGCCACCCTCGGCGTATGTGACTGGTGCCGAGTCTGCCTGGCTATATTTAGAGATGGGGTTTGTTCTCATGTTTGTTCAGGTTGGTTTTGAACTCCTTAGCTCAGGTAATCTACCTGCCTTGGCCTCCCGGAGTGCTAGGATTACAGGTGTGAATCACCATTCCCAGCCTTCTTTTTTTTTTTTTGCAGTTTTTTTTTTGGCCAGGGCTGGGTTTGAACCCACCACCTTCAGCATATGGGGCTGGCACCCCCTGCTCCTTTGAGCCGCAGGCACCACCCCATTCCCAGCCTTCTAAAGATATTTTTTGTAAATATTATATTGTTGCTATGAATTTTGAAAGTAAGTTGGCATTTATTTCTACCCCCTGGGAATCATGTCTTAGGTAAAAAATTAATAGATGCTTAGAAAATGCCCATATTTCAGCTCTGTGCCTATAGTTCAGTGGTTAGGGCACTGGCCACATGTACCGGGGCTGGTGGGTTCGAACCCAGCCTGGGCTTACTAAACAACCATAGTAACAACAACAACAAAATAGCTGGGTATTGTGGTGGGTGCCCGTAGTCCCAGCTACTTAGGAGGCTGAGGTAAGAGAATAGCTTAAGCCCCAACAGTTTGAGGTTGCTGTGAGCTATGATGTCATGGCACTCTACTGAGGGCGACATAGAGAGACTCTGTCTCAAAAAAAGATAAAGAAAATTCCCATATTTCAAATGTATATATTATATTTTTTATATGACTGCAGTCCTAAATTTCAAAGTATTAACTATTCAAATCTCATTTATGGCCATGCATGGTGGCTCACATCTGTAATCCTAGCACTTTGGGAAACTGAGGCAGGAGGGTGTCTATGACAGCAAGTCTCTGAGGCAGGAGGGTCACTTTGAGACTCTCCTGGACAACATATCAAGACCCTGTTTGAAGGAACAAAAACAAAAAATTTAGGCAGGCATGGTGTATGCCTGTAGGTCTCTGGTATGCTGGAGGCTAAGGAAGGAGGATCTCATGAGCCTAGGAGTTTGAGGTTGCAGTAAACTTGTGATGATGCCACTATACTGTA